CCAGGGTTTCCATTCAGTATTTCCTCAATCCTTGCTAGACTCTTATAAAATATTTAATCCCTGATATCCCATATCCATCTATAACTTCATAAATAGCGTCATCAGCATAGTGCAGAATGTGTGTGTACACACACACACACAGACAACTGAAGTACTGACACAACTAAAGTATACTCTGGGCTCTGTCATGTTTCCATGGGCCACACATTGTGTCACCTCTAAAAAATACCTTTTCATTGTTTTTAATTTTGCTAATTATGCTAAATAAGGCTGTTTGGCTTATATTGATGTGTACCAACAAAAATACATTCTTAGAATGTTTCGCGAACATTTGCATTAAGTTATGAAACCGTTGTTTCTGAATTTTCTCAGAACGTTCATAACATCCAGTTTTTTAAAATGTTTTTAAAACGTTTTTTCTTGGTTATGTGAACGTTAAAGAAAACATTAAGGGAATGTTTGGTTACACTTTAAATTAAGGTGACGTAGTTACACATTACTACATGTATTTACTAATAACAGCAAATGATGCATAATTACAAGTTACTAACCCTAAACCAAACCCTAACCGTAACTCTATACATGTAGTTCATTATTATTACTCAATACTTGAGTATAAGTACATTGTAACTACGTCACCTTAAAATAAAATGTAACCGGATGTTTTATGGGAACATTACTTTTGAGTGCTCTCTGAACAATCTTAACATTCAGCAGCTAAAATGTTCCAGAAAAATGTTCCATGAATGATGCATTTAATGCTTCAGCAAGACATTTTGGACAATTTCATACTCCCAACTTTGTGGAAACAGTTTGGGGATGTTCCTGTTCCAACATGACTGCGCACCAGTGCACAAAGCAAGGTCCATAAAGACATGGATGAGTGAATGTGGTGTGGAGGACTTGACTGTCCTGACCTCAACCCGATAGAACAGCTTTGGGATGAGTTAGAGCGGAGACTGCGAGCCAGGGCAAATGCACTTCTAATAATACTAATAAACACACTCCTAAACCTTGTGGAAAGCCTTCCCAGAAGAGTTGAAGCTGTAATAGCTGCATGGGGTGGGCCAACTCCATATTAAACCCTACGGATTAAGAATGGGATGTCATTAAAGTTTATGTGCATGTAAAGGCAGACCTCCCAAAACCTTTGGCAACATAGTGTATATAGTATATATAATGAGGAAAAAAATTATGTAATAATATTGAGAAAATATATATCTCTCTATTTTTCCTCATTATTATTATTGCATTATATTTTTACCAAAAGTCCCTTTGGTAAGAAAAGTAAATAGAATTTTTTTTTTAACTAAGTGAAAATGAATGGCAATTAGATGGCGTTCACAAAATTGTTCTTTGGGTGCCAATTATTGGTAAAATATTCAATAATAATAATATGCTATTTTTTTAAACAACTTTACTGAAAGGTTAGATTTTTCCTCATCTTTTTAGCAACATTGTTTATTAGTATATTTCCCATTGCCTTTTTGTTCACCATTACAGGTGATGCCAATAATCATGGCGTGCACTATATATTGATTTTAGGGAAAACCACACAGTCTGTATTTTTTTCACTAATAAGATTAAATGCCTAATAATTTTATAGGCACATGCAACTCTTAAGCTTGATGAAGACACGCAGCCACTGAACACTGTGATCAGACTGTCCTACAGCAGAACAGATCTGACTTCATACACACACACACACACACACACACATTGAACTATAATGTGGATTATCTGGATCTGTAACTATATCTTATTATGCAAACATGGATTGGTTGGCCATCATCTCGACTGATGCCCTGATCATCAGATCCAACATCTGACAAATCAACTAGTATTAATGCAACAAACCCCTTCAAGGCTTTCATTTATATTGACTTTATATTGAATTAGCAAAGACTTACAATTTTAACTCGTGACTGCATGGCCTCCATGCAAACTATCTCATTTCATTTTATGTTACGTCTGAGTACAGCATAAATACTTGATCCTGAAATCAAAAAACAACGGAAGCTAAATTTTAAAAACCTCCAGTGAGGCGTCTCAGATGTGTGCAAATAAAAACAAGATTCTGTTAATATCATAAAAGCACAATACCAAATATAGGCCATTTATTGTAGCATTGTGTGTAATGCCTTAGCATTGTTATTCCATCTTTGTAATCCCTTGTGTAACACATTCAAGTCACATGAATAACACTAGATTGAAATTTTAAAGTGTCACTTCTAACTTTTACAGTCTTGAATTATTAAACGAATCATTTAATGTAAGGATGCACTGATAAAATAAACTATAAATGCATGTCTTCCATCGAAAAAAATAAATATTTTTTTATTAATCGTCCATTTTACAGATGGATTATTAAAGGATTTCTTTTTTTTTATGTTGCTTGGACATAAAATTCAAAAACTCGCTGCATGGTAAAATAACTTCTCCACCATGCAGTAAAAGTCTCATTTGATGTACTAGATCTTTGCTCATATTCTATGTGCTTGTGTTTCCCCATAAATTGCCGTTTATATGCTTTGGGTTTTTCAGCCAACTTGACTGGAATTTCTAGGTAATAAAACAAATCCAGTCAGTGTGCTGGCCTTTAATGGCTCCTCCTCCCTCCCTCGAGTCCCTCATGAACAAACCCAAAGACGGGCCGGTCCGTTCCAGTATGGCAGAAGGATCCGCCAGATTAGCAATGCAGTTGTTTGATGTCTACGCAACGGTTTAAAACAACCTCTTGCAAAAATATGAACTGCTGCAAAACGAGAGAATATTTATACTCCTATTTACTACAGAATGATTTGAAATCAATATAAACGCAATAGCATATTACTTATGAAAAGGAATGCAAAATGCACACTTGCACAGAAAAGATGTTTTTAATACATCTTTTAATACATATATAAGTATATTTAATTAGAATGCTTGCACTTGCAAATGGGAATTTATGACCTGCTATTTGGGAATACGGGAATACTTTAATGTCATGGATGTACTTATAGCATCTTAGCAAACAAGACTTCAGGGGGTTGCCTGTGGGAATATAGAAGCATTGTGCTTCGTTCATTTTATTTATGTATTTATTTTTATTGCTACTATAGGTCTTTGAATCAGACAAGGTTTTAAATGTCTATATAAATATATAGAAATATTCAACCCTGTACACCAGCTGAAGATACATTTACAGAATTAATAAAGAAATAAAAACTGGCGCTGTGTGATCATCCTTTTTTTTTTACTAACTGTCCTCTTGCAGTCACTCTAAAGAATGCTGGGTTGTTTCAACCCAAATGTTGGGTCAAATATGGACAAACCCAAATGTTGGGTCAAATATGGACAAACCCAAATGTTGGGTTAAAAATGTAATTAAAAAATTTACAGTTGAAAGTGAAAGTTGGGTTAAAATTTTAAATTACATTTTTAACCCAACGTTTGGGTTTGTCCATATTTGACCCAAATTTGGGTTAAAACAAACCAGCATTGTTTAGAGTGTGCTTTAAAGGAAGAAAACTAGAGTATTAACCTCGGCTAAAAGCTTACTGAGATTTTTCTGAACACTAAGGTGCAACAATACTAGCAACATTTTGAAAAAAACATGAGAATCTTGTCTTAAAAAATATTTTTTTAGACTCTTTTTGTCTTTTATATATATATATTTTAAATGATTTAGGTATCTGTTATTATATGTTTAATATGTGAATTGAAATCAGTTATGTACCATTGTGTTTGTTTTACTTTAAATCGTTCTTGTGCCCCTGATATCTTGCATATTGAAACCTATTGATTAGTACGGAAGCGTATTGCATTCACTTGAGGGAAAAAATCGACTCTGTTTTTCTGAATTAACGAGTTAATATCTCAGAATTATGAGATACATTTTTCTTGAAAAAAAATTTTTTCACTCTGTTTTTATGAATTAATAAGTTACTCATAATTTTGAGATAATTAAGTCATTAATTCAGAAAAACAGAGCAAAAACTTTTTTCCCATGAAAAATTATCTTGTAATTCTGAGATAATTAACTCGTTAATTCAGAAAAACAGAGCAAAAACTTTTTAAGTGAATGCAATACGCTTCCGTAGATTAGAGGATGAAAAACAATGAAACCTCATAATGCATATTCAAATAGTCTTATGTAACGCCAAATGCTTGACTTGCCTTGGTTGTGATCAAATATATATATAATCCTGAAGCCCTTTTAAGTGAAGCCATTTGACAGTCACAGTCAGCATGTTAACAGACTCACACCTAATGGCAGCTTTATTGTTCAGCAAGTTTTCAGACCACCCAACTCTCATGATGACATCTACACACACACACTGTGATGATCCAGACACCTCTACACACCACCCGTCCTTCAAATACTTTTGCTTCTCAACACCTTTTAGTGCACTTATTCTCCCAGCCCCCATCCTGCTAGATCTGGACTGCTTCCATCAGACAACAGGACCCAGACAATGTTTGTGTATCATTTCTATAAAACTTTATCAAGCCTGCTGATAAGATGGTAAAAAACACTTTTCACATCACATTTTTCTTAAACGTAATACACCCATATGTACATGAAGTAAAAAATATACACTCGTTTAAAAAATTCTAAATATTTACAAGTGTTTCTTTTAAATATTAAATATTTCCGTACTTTTGACAGCATTTCAGCGGTTCTCATTTGAAATTCTCCACAAAAAAAAAACGTGCTTTAGTTCAAGAACAGAATTATGGAATGTTTTTGTTCACTCTTAGGAAAACAGTTTCATTGGGGTTCTATATAGAACTCTAGGGTTCCGGACTCGAATTTGAAAGAACGCTTTAAGCCAAACATGTTCTATATAAGGAGACCTTTTGCATACTTAACAGATTATTTACATTTTTGTAGTCATAAAGTATGTTTACGAGCTATTTACTTAATAAAAAATGAATTCATTGAAAATAAATCCATGTAATGATCTGATGACGTGAACCCCTTTTAGGTCCTATAGAACCTTTTTTGTAAGAGTGCATATATTGTGAATATTTGACATGTTCAGTGTTCACTGACAGCCGCACTCCTCCACGATCATGTCCTCGTGATGCCGCATGACCACTCCGTCTCCTTCATAGTACAGCATGGAGAGCGAGCTGAGGCGCGTGGGCACACAGGACGGGCAGCTCACGCGCTCCGGGTGGAAGAGCTTCAACAAGCTCTGGAGAGAGAGAGAGAGAGAGAGAGAGAGAGAGAGAGAGAGAGAGAGAGAGAGAGAGAGAAAGCAGCATGTGAGTTATATAGTCCCAATAACTGTCCCTTATAAAGCTTTTCATTCTCGAGCGTTTGACATGTTGTCATATTTTACCCCACAAAAAATCCCATTAGGATATGTCATCTCAGAATTTATTCTTTACTTGATAGTTCACTATAACCATAGTACATAGTACAAAAAATCATCCTGTAAGCATGTTTTTATTCAAATCAGCATAAAATTACAGGCATCACAACAAATACTACTATGATGAATAAATTCAGAAAACTTGAAGCCTACTTTTGCTATTACAGGTGAAACTCAAAAAATTTGAATATCGTGCAAAAGTTCATGTCAGTAATTCAACTTAAAAGGTGAAACTAATATATTATATAGACTCATTACATGCAAAGTGAGATATTTCAAGCCTTTATTTGTTATAATTTGGATGATTGGCTTACAGCTTATTAAAACCAGCTTATTATTTTGACTTTGGGGTTTTCATAAGCTGTGAGCCATAATCATCAAAATTATAACAAATAAAGGCTTGAAATATCTGACTTTGCATGTAATGAGTCTATATAATATATTAGTTTCACCTTTTAAGTTGAATTACTGACATAAATGAACTTTTGCACGATATTTTTGAGTTTCACCTGTATTATTCTTTTTTTTTTTTTTCTGAACATGATTTTGTGGTTAAATGACACTGCCATTGACCTGACCACTGTTCAGTCTCTCACCTGCATATATGCGTGGTTTGTTGGGTTGTAAGACTCATCCAGTGGACTTGGACATTGGCCTTCGCATCGGTATGCGTTGTAACGCTTCGGGTGCACGATCCACTCATCCCATCCGATTTGATCAAAATCCACCCACATATCAACTCGCCGGCAAAGTTCTCCTTGATGTTGCTCGACTCCCGTCGCGTTTCTCTCTTCCGTCTGAATGCGCATCCTCTCGACCCGGTTCCTCTTGTGCCGGCGACCTTGAGCTTCGTCTGGAGCCCGGCTCAGGAGGACATGTTTGGAGTGAGCAACTGTATTCATCAAGCTGGAGGCCCGTTGGCCACTGTGGGAAAACTTGTTTTTGTAGAAAACTACAATCATAACTCGTTCTGCTGTGGGATGCTGAATTTTTCGTCGCCAACTCTTTGTAACCGGTTCAATTAAGCCTTCCCCGCTTCCAGTGTCCTCACTCTTTGTAACCGGCTCTGTTAAATCTTCGCCGCTTCCATCCTCTGGTGTTGGGATCTTCTCGGGAGTCTCCGTTCCCTGACTCAACCAGTGTTGGAGCAGCTCTGTGACGTTGAAAACCCTCCAGGTTGATGCTGGAGTGCCGGACACCGACTTGATGCTGCCCAGAAAAAGTCTCTTAATGCGACAAAACACCGAGTCTGACTCACAATCCCGTTTACGCAAGTGGAAGATGTCCACCATGACGCGTCTGGATGCAGAAAACGCTGGGAGACGGATGCGGAGCTCCGAGAGATGAATGTTGTCACTCGCTGAGAGGGAAGACATGTCAAAGGTGACGCTCCATCGCTCACCAGTTTGATGACAGTCTGAAAAATAAAGAAAATGTTTGTGTCACCTCTTGCAATGAGCTAATAGTGAATAAGAAAATAATGCAGACATGACTACTAAGACACACTATTAATAAGCTAGGTAAATATTAAGTCAAAAATACAATATTAACATTAAATGATTAAATAATCTGTTACACTTTATTTCGATGGTCCACTTTAGATATAACTACTACCTTTGCAATTACATGTCAAACTACCTTTCGTACTGTACTAGACTGTTAAGTTTGTAAGTCTACTTACAGTCAGTATAATGTCTGTTGAGGAGCATCAAAATAAAGAGTTAGCAGATATTAAGCAGAAAGTCTAATAATACTTTAATGAGAGTTAGTTGACATGTAGTTGCAAAGTTACTTTGTGGACCATCGAAATAAAGTGTTAGCAAATTCTCCTTCCTTTTCACAATTACAAATTGAAAATCCATAAAATTTCAGGTTGTGTTGTATATGGCCATTATATTGTTAAGAGTTTCTCCTTAAAATGTAATATAGGGTTTCATTTTGGTGTTCATAACAAGAATTAAGGATTTTTGCAGCCACTTTCTAATAAGTTGTAACACTGAAATATATCGGAACGCGACGCAACTACAAGATCGCGACGCATGCGTGAACGCGCCCTTAAGTCAGGGTGAAGAAAAAAATGTATAAATTATAAACAAACGAAGACTAAATGTCTAAATAACAGCGTAATTCATAATTCTTACTTTTACGCTTCACAATATTTTCGGTGATTATTTAAAAAAAACTTTAAATTGGTTTATAATGAAGTACGTGTATTGTTTTCAACAGGTTTCGTGAGCTTCCCTCAGGTTCTGTCAGAGCCAAATGTCAGCGCTGTCAGGATGGAGGAGCTGCTTGACAGGAGATGTGTATTGAACCTCGCGCTAACAGACGTCTGAAGAGCTAATACACACACCCGTGTACATAAAACAGCCAGCTCTTTAAAGTCGAATAAGCATTGTGACACTACTGAGTTGTAAAATCTGAGGGTCAGATAGCAGATAATGAGCCCACAAGTTCCCCAGATGCGTGACTTCAGGCTACTCTTCTTTAAAACACACTGAATATACATCCATCGAGACTTTATCAACGTGTAGTTAACACGAAAAATATGTCTTGCTAAGTAGTCAAATTGTTGCCAAATTGCAACAAAAAAAAAGCATTTACTTAAAAAAAAAAACAGTTCTGCTGCATCTATGTAGCTTAGCCTACTTTTTATAGTTAATACAATAACTGGGTATTTAACCTTTTATTATACCCAGCACTTTTATCAGTTAAGACAGGCTACACTTACAAATGCACTATAAAATAAAGTGCAACCTATTTGATGGTCCTGATGTTGAATGATTAGTCATTTCGTGTACATTTGCATGCACTTTAAGACATAGCCTACTTCCAAGAGTAACATGGTCCAACCATTACACATGCCGGATTGTGGTACCATTTTGGTAAGGTGGTAACACTTTATTTTACAGTGTCCTCCTTGTTACACACATTTAACATGTAGTTACTGTAGTAATAACAAGGCTATACATTATGCATAACTACATACAACTAACCTTAAACCAAACCCCAATCCGGTTACACTTCTTTTTAAGGTGTCATTTGCTTTAACAAGGACACTGTAAAATAAAGTGTTACCAAATAAAGTGTAACCCTTTATTTTACAGTCCTGTTCCCCATGTACATTTTATTATAGTATGGCTAATTAAAATAACTGGGTAATAACATAGGTACTGAACCTAACCTTAACCTTAACCTTAAGTTACCGTATATTACCCAGTAGCTTACTTAAGTGGCTACACTGTAAATGCACGTACTGTAAAAAAAAAAAAAGAAGAAGAAGAAGAAGAAGAAGAAGAAGAAGAAGAAGAAGAAGAAGAAGAAGAAGAAGAAGAAAAAATGCACCTGATTTGATTTAATTTTGCATACAAAATAAGTAAAGAAGGTTAAAGCAAGTGCATGTTTTACCTTGAGCAATCAGGCTGAGGACGAAGTCCGCCTGCTGGACAGAGCTGTTGTGGACACTGGCTGGAGGAGTGTGTGTGTTCCCGCTGAAGTCTCTGTATAACTGCATCATGTACAGCGGGTACCTCGGGTACATCTGGAGACTGTAGTCTGAGTATGAACCTGCGAAAGCCTCGTGATGTTCTCTCACGAGCGCGCCTTGACTATCGATCTGCACGCAGTCAACGTGTTTCAGAGAAAACACCAAAGTGGCGAACAGTAAGAGTGGCATTGCGAATCAATGAGGTTTTCAACAGCGACTCTTTCTCTGCGCGCCTGTGGTCCGAGTGGTCGGGGTGTCCAGGCTTCGGACAGCGCTTTTAAAGCGCACAGCTGGCCCCTGATGACCCCTGTCATCCTGTAGTGTCCAGGAATCCCTGTGATCCATGAGGCACATCAGAGGAGAGCAGAGCTGTCAAGTTCACTGCTTCTGGAAACTGTGCAGGCTTTAAATGCGCGAGGCGTGAGACTCTCGCGCTCGAATGTGCACGCGACATCCTTTGATTCCGGGCCACCCAAAGGTAAAGCACCTTGTTTATGCAACATTTGTTTGAATATGAATGCAGCAGGCAACATTAAATTACGAATGCTTATTTTAAGGCTATTGCAATGTGATTTTACAGTAAATTTGGTATTTATTTAAATACCCGGGATGCACAAGCGATGATTAGTCAGGGACCCAGCAGGAATAGACTTTTGTCCTCTGATTATATTTTAGTGAATTTCTCTGACATCACACACGTCACAGTCTGGATGTCCTGTAAAGAGCACATTCAGGGCATTTCAGAGATACCACATCTTTAAAGGTTTTACCATGACAACAACTTCTGACATTCATTTAGTGCAAATTTCTCATGGAAATATATTTTGTAGTTATCATTTAAATCTGACTAATTTTAAAATTGTTTGTCATAAATCAACATCTCAGGAAAATGTTATGGGTTTTCTAATCAAAATATGACTTTCTGTTACAAAACAGGGCATTCATTTCATAGCCAGGACTTCAATCTTTATCAGGCATTATGAATAGGGAAATAAATTAAATGTCAATATTCCTATGAAATATTAAATAATATTATGAAAATGTTGCCAATTATTTATCCCATAATATTACAGTTCTTTTTTCATTACATATTGCCCCAAGAACATGCAGAACAATGTAATGACATGAAAAAATACTTTTAAAAAAACAACAACAAAAATATTCAGTGTCTCAGGAGGATATGAAAATAATAGAGTGTTTTAGATTTTATTTATCCATCAGCCCATTTGTGTATGTTTGGTAAGTGTTTGAAAGGATATAGGGCTTATACATATGACATAAATAATATTTTTTACAACATATAGCCTAAAACATTCACACAAAATGTAACCATTCAGGGTCGTTTGAAGCTTTGGAAAAATGTCTTTAAATTCTTTAAATTCAATTTATGACTCATGCGAATCATGCTGACTGTCACGATCTGGTGGTTAAACTACTTCCTCATCAAAACACAATAAAGCGTTTGGGTTGAGCAGTTGAACACAGATGGCATCAGCTTTATGAAACAGCACTTCTCAATCCTAAAACATCATGCAGTTTGCCTTCGTCGCTTTCTTTCTCTTCACCTCTACCCTGTCTTTAGGTAAGAGAGTTGAAATATTAGCAAAAGATTGCTGCTTGAAAATAACCATTAGATTTAATCATTAAATGGTTAATTTTACTATGTTAAAAGTTAAAACAAGATAGACAGTTGAATTTAAAATGAGCTTTTATTTTTCAAAGCTTGCAGTCAATTTCCTGGTAGCATATTTCCATATCAGAGATATTTGACATGCTCTGGTTTCTCTGTAGGATGGGCAAGAAATGTAGACCTTCGAACATCCAGCCTTTCCACGGTAAGTCGTGAGTGACCAGTGCCTGAATATGAGCTGCATTTACATTAGCAGCAATGCAGATGAAAAATAAATGTTCAATGTGGATCAATTTTACACTGTTCATAAACTGAGTATGCTATACTATCCCATTACATAGCACATTTTCATTTATTTCATAAACTACTCGACATGCCAGCATACACCTGGTCTAAATCGGTTATATATTAAAACAGGCTTTCAGAAGGGAAACACAGATGCTTTTAAAGGGATAGATCACCCAAAAATGACAAATCTGTCATCATTTACTCACCCACAATTTGTTCCAAACCTGTATGAACACAAAAGAAGATGTTTTGAAGAATAATTGATGCAGTTGCCCAGCACAATTGAGTGAAGTTGGTTACTCGTTTTACTATTTCTTCCATTTGGCTGGAAATGAAACTTGTGGACAGGAACTAGACTAGGGCGTATATCCATAATCAACTGAATTTACATATTATTGTTTTTTAGATTCATCAAAGGTCTAATTTAATTCTCCAATTTAACTGTATGTGTAAATATGTTTTGTTTTTGTCCATATATCACCTACACGTTGCTTTTCTTTTTGCTATTGCAATGAAGGGCTTGCACTGTCTCAAGCCGTGTTGGGGAAAGTTACTTTTAAAAGTAATGTGTTACAATATTGCGTTACTTAGTTACTTTTTATTGAAAGTAATGTGTTACAATATTGCGTTACTTACTTTTTATTGAAAGTAATGTGTCACAATATTGCATTAGTTATTTTTTATTTAAAGTAATGTGTTACAATATTGCATTACTTAGTTACTTTTTATTGAAAGTAATGTTACAATATTGCGTTACTTAGTTACTTTTTATTGAAAGTAATGTTACAATATTGCGTTACTTAGTTACTTTTTATTGAAAGTAATGTGTTACAATATTGCGTTACTTAGTTACTTTTTATTGAAAGTAATGTTACAATATTGCGTTACTTAGTTACTTTTTATTAAAAGTAATGTTACAATATTGCATTACTTAGTTACTTTTTATTTAAAGTAATGTGTTACAATATTGTGTTACTTAGTTACTTTTTATTAAAAGTAATGTGATACAATATTGCGTTACTTAGTTACTTTTTATTTAAAGTAATGTTACAATATTGCATTACTTAGTTATTTTTTATTTAAAGTAATGTGTTACAATATTGCATTACTTAGTTACTTTTTATTTAAAGTAATGTGTTACAATATTGCGTTACTTAGTTACTTTTTATTTAAAGTAATGTGTTACAATATTGCATTACTTAGTTACTTTTTATTCAAAGTAATGTGTTACAATATTGCGTTACTTAGTTACTTTTTATTGAAAGTAATGTGTTACAATATTGCATTACTTAGTTATTTTTTATTTAAAGTAATGTGTTACAGTATTGCGTTACTTAGTTACTTTTTATTTAAAGTAATGTGTTACAATATTGCATTACTTAGTTACTTTTTATTTAAAGTAATGTGTTACAATATTGCGTTACTTAGTTACTTTTTATTAAAAGTAATGTTACAATATTGCGTTACTTAGTTACTTTTTATTTAAAGTAATGTGTTACAATATTGTGTTACTTAGTTACTTTTTATTAAAAGTAATGTGTTACAATATTGCGTTACTTAGTTACTTTTTATTTAAAGTAATGTGTTACAATATTGCGTTACTTATTTACTTTTTATTGAAAGTAATGTGTTACAATATTGCGTTACTTAGTTACTTTTTATTGAAAGTAATGTTACAATATTGCGTTACTTAGTTACTTTTTATTGAAAGTAATGTTACAATATTGCGTTACTTAGTTACTTTTTATTGAAAGTAATGTGTTACAATATTGCGTTACTTAGTTACTTTTTATTGAAAGTAATGTTACAATATTGCGTTACTTAGTTACTTTTTATTAAAAGTAATGTTACAATATTGCATTACTTAGTTACTTTTTATTTAAAGTAATGTGTTACAATATTGTGTTACTTAGTTACTTTTTATTAAAAGTAATGTGATACAATATTGCGTTACTTAGTTACTTTTTATTTAAAGTAATGTTACAATATTGCATTACTTAGTTACTTTTTATTTAAAGTAATGTGTTACAATATTGCGTTACTTAGTTACTTTTTATTTAAAGTAATGTGTTACAATATTGCGTTACTTAGTTACTTTTTATTGAAAGTAATTTTACAATATTGCGTTACTTAGTTACTTTTTATTGAAAGTAATGTGTTACAATATTGCGTTACTTAGTTACTTTTTATTGAAAGTAATGTTACAATATTGCGTTACTTAGTTACTTTTTATTAAAAGTAATGTTACAATATTGCATTACTTAGTTACTTTTTATTTAAAGTAATGTGTTACAATATTGTGTTACTTAGTTACTTTTTATTAAAAGTAATGTGATACAATATTGCGTTACTTAGTTACTTTTTATTGAAAGTAATGTTACAATATTGCATTACTTAGTTACTTTTTATTTAAAGTAATGTGTTACAATATTGCGTTACTTAGTTACTTTTTATTTAAAGTAATGTGTTACAATATTGCGTTACTTAGTTACTTTTTATTGAAAGTAATGTTACAATATTGCGTTACTTAGTTACTTTTTATTGAAAGTAATGTGTTACAATATTGCGTTACTTAGTTACTTTTTATTTAAAGTAATGTGTTACAATATTGCGTTACTTAGTTACTTTTTATTTAAAGTAATGTGTTACAATATTGCGTTACTTAGTTACTTTTTATTAAAAGTAATGTGTTACAATATTGCGTTACTTAGTTACTTTTTATTGAAAGTAATGTGTTACAATATTGCGTTACTTAGTTACTTTTTATTGAAAGTAATGTTACAATATTGCGTTACTTAGTTACTTTTTATTGAAAGTAATGTGTTACAATATTGCGTTACTTAGTTACTTTTTATTTAAAGTAATGTGTTACAATATTGCGTTACTTAGTTACTTTTTATTGAAAGTAATGTTACAATATTGCGTTACTTAGTTACTTTTTATTAAAAGTAATGTTACAATATTGCGTTACTTAGTTACTTTTTATTTAAAGTAATGTGTTACAATATTGTTACTTAGTTACTTTTTATTAAAAGTAATGTGATACAATATTGCTTTACTTAGTTACTTTTTATTTAAAGTAATGTGTTACAATATTGCGTTACTTAGTTACTTTTTATTTAAAGTAATGTGTTACAATACTGTGTTACTTTTTTCCCACCAGGGCTGGGTTTGCTTGCTTGCTTGTTTGTTTTAATAAAGGTTTTATTTTGGCAAAGTCTTATACTAATCTGTATAAGGTTACAGGAAATTGCTACCCTTCAAATAATAAAAGATAATATCAAAATATAAAATCTGACTGTGATCCTTAAAACAAGATCTGAGAATATGGTAATTTTTACACTTCCTTGTTTCTATTAAAGATAGATTCGTTTTTTGACCCGTACAACCCTAGAAAAGAGGTTGTGAGAGTTTGTGGTTTTGTGTTAGAAACTGCAACACATGGTATGCACTATTCTGTCTAGTATTTAACCATGCAGACTAATAAACAAAGCACTGAAATGCACCAAATTGAAATGTGTTTAAAGGTTTTATGCATATTACATCAAGTCAGTTCACAGAATATAATCTTAATGTCCACTGTCATCCTCCTTTAGATGAACAACATATGCAGCGATTGCAACAAGATCGTACAGCTGTTGACGGATATGCTCTCCAATCCAGACACTCAGGTGATATTGTGTGTGTGATGTTTGCTAATACTGAAACATTTAGCGGAACACTTTCGGTAAATCAATGTTTAAAACTTCAAACATTGTTTGAATGCATATTTTCTTTATGCCAGACCTAATTGCCTTCTGTTCAACACAATCTCATGGCAATAATTCACACCAATTTATATCTGCATATAGTGGTCATAGCTACTTGTAGAGAAGTGAAATCTCCAGCTGCATTATTTCCAGTCTTTCTTGTGATGTAGCTTCTGTTTCTGTAATAAGTTAAAACCAGACCATTCTCAGTTGTAACTGAGTTATGGTCTGGCAAAGCGTCATAGAAAAATCATTTCCAGAGGGGCGTCACCAACGGACATCGCGGATAGACCTAAACCCAATCAGAGCGATGAAGGAGATGACGTATACAGAGCGGCGGAGAAACATCTCCGAGTGTTGTTCTTTGCTCGGTTTTTAACTAAAAGGAAACGTTCAAATGGCTTAAAACAGACGCGATAGCTGATTGGAACGAGTGCTGTTCGACGGCGGCATCCATCTTTGTAATGTAGGCTACAAAATCTGCTTCAAAATCCCAGCGCTGTCGTCATCGTGTAAAGCCCGCCCCAACGTTTCTGATTGGTGCCTCGATTTCGGCGGATTGGAAATGGGCTTGAATGAGCTCTTTGCCAGACTAACTTTCAGAGCAAATCTAAATTTGCCGGAAGTTGTCTGGGTTTTCCCAGGCTAGTAATAAGTTGCTTTTAAATAGAAGCTTCCTTTTTTTAAACATGTTGTTGTTATATTGTTATGAATGATTTGGAGTTGTTTATATATTGATCTTAAATTGTTCCCTCTTCACAGCATCGTATTGAAAATGTTTTGGACAAGTTTTGTTCTGAACACCCCGTCATCCCGTTGTGTATGGATGGAGCAAGGACATATGTGCATTTGGTCATCAAATATTTCAGTGCATACGCAGTGAGTACTTCTCACTCATCCCAATTCGACCTAATTCTTTCTTAAATCTAAACACTTAAAATATTTAAACATGAGCAATATCTTCTTTACATGAATAATACCATAGCACTGAAAACCATATGTTTTTAACCCTTGTCGCAGAATCAAAATGGTGACATATGCGCAATGTTGGGACTGTGTGCCGTCCAGTCCGAGAGAGAAGCGCCGGCGCCGCCAGAGCTCATGGTTGGCCTGGATGAGCATGGGTTACTCTATGCAAAACCCTCAAGAGGAACTAGTCAAGACGTACGTGTTAGACAGGTCAAAGTTTACACAGTTTTACACTTGAAACACTCATCACTCAGACCATCTGAATCATTGCTTTCCATTGAAGACTGTAAAAAAGGCCTGGCTTTAGTCTAGACACGATATCCCTCTCTCTATCACTCATCAAATGGGAGTTTTTAATCCTTGCACACTTGGGGACGGAAGAGAAAAGTATTATGGCATGACTTTCAATTAACTGATGAAACTGCTGAGGAGTGGACGAGATGACTAAAATCTTAGTCTATGATATTTTAAATATAGCAGTGAACATCATCTTATAATTTTAGCTGAAATTTGTCACTGCAGCAAAATGTTATAAATTCAAACCAACACAGATTTTACAATCCTCAATATCACCACAAAACAAATGACTAACTTAAATATCCAACATACATTTAGTACACCCATAAAGCAATATTTACCCGTGTTGGGAGTAACATGCATTACATATTCAAATGTAGCCTATCTTTTTTGATGTAACGAGTAAAGTTCGTAAAAACGAGTAAAAAATGCATTACTTTAGAAATTTACACATTAATATTTGAGGTGCTGTTTTTACAAAGGAATGCACATTACTTTTCAGTTTAATTAATTTGCTTAAACATTTTTCTGAACTCTTTCCCCGCCATTGACCGAATTTTCACGAAATCCATGTTTTCACTGTTATATAGTAGGGGGCGCTGTTACACTTCTTCTGAAAGAGTGATGAATCTCAGGATCAAAACACAGGCGGAAAAAAGCAGAAACAAGCGATAAACGCATTGCTTATGCATATGCATGTTGTAGTGTAAAACTGATTTTCTCAGCTTTTTGTTCAAAATGTTGCTTTTTTATGAAACTTACCCACATTTAAGTGTTGATAAAAAAATAAATGCATGAAACTAGAAGAAAAAAAAGTTTTTCTTTTTTTAAGCAGAGGCTCTGTTCTTTCATATATACTCATATATAAATATATTCAGATATTCATACAGCAAAATATTCTGAGGGCCATAAGTTTTGTGAAAAGTAAGTGCTTAGGATATACAGTAAAAATATTATTCTAAACGTGTTTTTAAAAGACAATAAAGATGTATTTTAGTATGTTGCTGAATGCATTACTGCACTAAAAACATGCGCACACAAAAACAGCTGTAAGGCCTGAAGGAGAGCCAGCCTCAACCAGGAGAGGGAAAGTAATGGAAAAAAGCATAAGAATGCATTACTCTCCACAAAAAGTAACTGTTACTTTTTAGGGAGTAACACAATATTGTTACACCTTACTTTTAAAAGTAACTTTCCCAACACTGATATTTACTATATATAGCAAATCTCATGGTTAATCATTTATATCATCACAAACTGCCAACTATCCTATCGCCCAGCTCGAATCTTCTCAATGTGGCATTAAGGTATTATAAACTTTAACATTATGAATTTCTGCACTGCTGCTTTGTGTAGCCTGGTGTGAAAAGTGCAATGCACTATTTTGGTTTTATTGGGAAACAAAATTCGTTGTACATTCAAGTACTTTAAACTTGAAAAGAAAAGGTTTGAGACCATGCTATAGTTTGAGTATTTCTACTCATAAAAACATGTTCTACTTTGTTTCTTAGGTTCATAACAATCCCATCTGTAACTTCTGTCTGTTCTTCATAAAGACACTTGAGAGCATGTTGCCAAAAGAGAGAACTGCGGTAAGAATTTATTTTTTAATTAGTTAATATATTCATATTTTAATTAGCACTGGAATATTAAACGCTCTGGGTTATTTTCCATTTGTTCTGTCTTGCTTTAGGCGATTATAGAGAACCTTCTGGAGAAAATCTGTGATCATTTGCCTGAGCATTATAAGGAAATGTGTGACAGCTTCATAGAAACGTACGGAAAGAAGCTGATTGAGCTCCTGTTGTCCTCTCTCCCTCCACACGCCATCTGTGCAGCACTGGGTCTGTGTCTGTTCCCAGAGACACCACTGACACGTGAGTAGTGTGAATGCCATCCGTGCAACAAACTCACGGGAATGTGGAACTGTTTTACGCTTTGGAGAATTGGTGGCTCGTGAGATTGGGTTGATCAGTGACCACAGTCTTTTCACATACAATAGTTTCTGTGGAAATCAGTAAGAAACTGAAAGTTTAAAAAATAGAACCCAATCTTAAAGGGATAGTTCACTTTGAAATTAATTTTTGGTATGTTTTAGCTTACCTCAAGGGCATCCAAGATGTAGGTGTCTTTGTTTCCGCAGTAGTTTCAATTTTGATATTTTTAGGTCAAACCGTTCTTGTCTGTCAGTCATATAATGCAGGTCTATGGTCACCACCTCAAAGAGCATGCACAGAGAAGTCCAAATTAAACATGATTTAATGACTCGTAAATGTAAGTACACATTGATGGCCTAAGACACGAAACGAGCGGTTTGTGTGAGAAAACGAACAGTATTTATATCGTTTTTACCTCTTGTAAACACAGCCACGTCCAAGTGATCTGAGGGCGCGGGCGCGGGCGCTTCGGTTTGCGCAAGCGCCGGAAAGCGCCGGAAGTGATCTCTCGCGCGTGTACGTCACTCATTGTTTACACAGAGATTTCGGAAGTGTTACCTTTCACTGTGAAGATCTAAACATATTTAGATATACAGGAAATCGCAAAGGAAGACGATTTCAATACATCAACAGACAACGTTGAATTTTTTTTTGCAACCGCGCGAGAGATCACTTCCGGCGCTTTTCGGCGCTTGCGCAAACCGAAGCGCCCGCGCCCTCAGATCACTTGGACGTGGCTGTGGTTAAGCACAGATATGTTTTAGCTTGCCCTTGAGGTAAGCTAAAACATATCTAAAAATTTATTTCAAAGTGAACTATCCCTTTAATTTTATATATATATATTCCCTTTTTAAAATTGTGTTCACTACCTAGTCAAGTGGACCTTTGTTTTTGAGCACATGCGCTCTTGTGGTGATGATTTCGCATGAATTTCTGTTTCCATTCCTACGCTTTCGTAACAATCTGCCTATGAACCAATTACAAATCACATTGTACAAATTAATAGGAATCGCCATTTCATAAAGTAATCTCATGAGATCGGGTTCATCCGTCTTATCACATAGAATAGGAGCTTCCAAACTGTGGCAATGTGTTGAAAAATATTTTAGGAATCTGTCAAAAACTTGTTTAAAACTAAACATTTGATTTTCTTTTATTAGGCATATAATATAACAAACTGAAACAACTTATTAGTCTTTATTGACACATAATAACTGAATATTTTGTATGGCGTTCTTTGGCCTTGATAACATTGTTTTAATACTGTACTTTTCCACAGTCTCTGTTGTTATTTACTTCCATATAGTTTCTGGTTGTTCCCTAATACTTTTTGATTAAACTTGTGTGCGATCTATCTTTGAATCCACCAAATCCCAAATTTGTTTAATGGGATTCAAGTCCGGACTTTGAATTGGCCAACTGTGAATAACGAGCTCACACAAACTGGTGGATTGACCATTACAGAAACATAAAAAATGATTTTGGTTATAACCAACACTGTTAGTTCAGGGCAGCTGTGGCACAAGCCTTACATTGGGTGGAGGTCTAATAAATTTGTAAGCACTGTATATATATATATATATATATATATATATATATATATATATATATGTATTAAAAAAAATTTACACACTAGTGGATCTTTGTTTTTGAGGCAAATCACTCACAAATGCGCTGTTGTGTGGCTCATTAAATGAGATCCGAATATTACAATCTGAATATGCCCTGAATATGAATCACATCATACAAATCAAAACCAACACCTCATAAAATAGTTGTTTCTCAAGAACCGGTTGATCACTCATCACATCCAATAATAGTAGCCTGACCTAAGTTTATTTATATATATATATTTTTTTTTTTTTTGACTAGGTTGTACTTAAAGGGTTAGTTCACCTAAAAATGAAAATGATGTCATTAATGACTCGCCCTCATGTCGTCCCAAGCCCGTCAGACCTCCGTTCATCTTCAGAACACAGTTTAAGATATTTTAGATTTAGTCCGAGAGCTTTCTGTCCCTCCATTGTAAATGTATGTACGGTATACTGTCCTTGTCCAGAAAGGAAATAAAGACATCATCAAAGTAGTCCATGTGACATCAGTGGGTTAGTTAGAATGTTTTGAAGCATCGAAAATACATTTTGGTCCAAAAATAACAAAAACTAGGACTTTATTCAGCACACACACACACACCAGACACACGTCAGCAGCGTCTTACGTCAGCGGCGGCACTGAACGCGGATCCACAACAGAACCAGAATACAATACAATGCTGAATAAAGTCCTAGTTTTTGTTATTTTTGGACCAAAATGTATTTTCGATGCTTCAAAACATTCTAACTAACCCACTGATGTCACATGGACTACTTTGATGACGTCTTTATTTCCTTTCTGGACAAGGACAGTATACCGTACATACATTTTCAATGGAGGGACAGAAAGCTCTCGGACTAAATCTAAAATATCTTAAACTGTGTTCTGAAGATGAACGGAGGTCTTACGGGCTTGGGACGACATGAGGGAGAGTTTTTGGGTGAACTAACCCTTTAATGTTCAGATATTCTGACATGGTTCTTGCCATGGAAGGTTTGAGAAACACTGATGTTTCTCAGACCAGAACTGAAGAATCATTTAATGCTTGTAAATGACTGTGATCATGCCTTATATGAACGATGCACATCCTCTCCAGTGTCCACAGACTGTGATTCCTGTAAGATACTAGCGGCCCTCTCCCGGTTTCATCTGGGTCACAACGCAACTGAGATCCAGACCTCTGACCTGCTCCAGAAGATCTGCCACCTTCACCCTGATGCTATTCCTCAAGTAATGAACACACGCACAATACAACAAAACAATCCTTTGACAAAATCTGTGTAATATAGTGACGTACAGTACACACTCAAAGACTACCTGACACAATTACCTGCAGTGACGACACGTGTTACAGAAAAAGCAATAGACTCTTTGGATTGTTTCTCCTTGTTCTAGTGTGAAGGGTTTGTGAAGCGTCATGGCCACAGGCTCCTGAAGAGTGACGGGAAACAACCATTCATCAGCGAGTGTCAGGTAAGAACTGCTCAAGTTTAACAATATTAGTTACTTTGGGGTTGTTGAACGCACTGGAGAAATTCTGACATGAAGTAACTCTTTTTTTGTGTGTGTTTTGTCAACAGGAAGATTACCTTTGCACGGGACACAAGTGAAAGTGATCAATCGAATGAGATTCCAATCAGAAAAGCAACTTTCTTTTGTACACTTGACCAAGCTTTTTGAATCCACTTCCTTTACACACAAAATCAAAAGAAATTTGAGACATACAGAAGTTTGAGTGCAGGCATTGACTGTTAAATCTGCTTTAAATTACCTTTATTTACCAAACAGTTTTTAATGTAACCTTTCCCAATTACTAGTTACTTGTCATCTTAATTACTAAAATCATAATTTATGTGTTGTATCTGTAGTTCCATGATCCAAACCACACTGGGTAGACATGTAATGTAACATGTAATAACAAACTAGTGAACTTAGCCTATAGGAAATCTTATAGTGTGTAACATTACATGAAGCCTTTGCATCCTCATTTTTGTTTAGAGAAGATGCAAGAAATAAACTCATTTGTATTTCAAGGCATTGTAAGCAGTTGATTCAGGGAAAAGCGCTTAAAAAAAAGAGACAACTTAAAAATAATTAACTTTTAACAGTGATAATTCAAAATTAGGCCTTTTACAATCATCTTCACGAACGTTTCTGAAAACATTTCAAATCTGTCAAAAAACAAACTGCGGTGTACATAAGACTGACATGACACCTTCATAACCATGACATGACATATGTCATGAATATGAAGTAGGGTTTATGCATGTTTATGACAACTGTCATTAAGTGTCTTTCGCTCAATAATGACATTTTGAATGCAAATATGACATTGTTTAAGATGTCTTTGTTATGACACCTTGACATAAACCAATAAATCATAACCTGTCAGTGTCTTTGTCATGACAACTTGACATTAAATTAAGTTAAACTGTCATGTGGTTGGTTTTGACATTGGCTGTCATAAGGCCATTATAACTGTGTCATTAATATTTTTTCTTGACCTCAACTACAGTGGTACAAATTGAATTTGTCATTAAACAGTTATAATGGCTTCATGACAGCCAATGTCAAAACCAACCACCTGACAGTTTAATGTAATGTTAACCAATAAAGCTAAGTGGTTTCTTAAGTTTGATAATTAATCTGCTATGTCATGTTTATGACAGGTTGTGTTGTCTTAGTAATGTCAAGTTGTCATGACAAAGACACTGACAGGTTATGATGTATTGGTTTATGTCAAGGTGTCATAACAAAGACATCTCAAACAATGTCATATTTGCATTAAAAATGTCATAATTGAGTGAATGACACTTAATGACAGTTGTCACAAACATGCATAAAACTTCCTTCATATTCATAACATGTGTCATGTCACGATTATGAAGGTGTCATGTTCGTCTTATGCACACCCCTTCAAGTAAAGTGTTACCCAAATTGCCTTTAGATTTGTATTGTTGTTTGTGGTAATGCTGTATAATTAAGAACACTACGTATCCTATTATTAATTTCACGAACAAACACATAAGCATTTATTGCATTTATATTTAGAGCAACTCTTAAAACTAAAGCAATCTGAAATGTGAGGGTTTTGGTCTAGCTGCTTATTCACAACACTCGTTTTCTAAAGAGCCGAATGAAATGCAGTCTATAGTCTTGAAAACTTTAATAAAAGGTCTCATACTACAAACAGCCAAACTTTATAGGCAAAGGAAGAGTCACAATAAAACTGAACAAAAGAAAAAAAATCACAATAGGAACAGAAATGTTACGTTCACCTTACAGATTTCTTAGCATCATTATATGAAATGAAACCTCAGGATTTAAAGGGATAGTTCGTTCAAAGATGAAAATACTCATTCACTCATCCTCGATGTATAAGACTTTCTTCAGATAAACACAAAGGAAGATTTTTAGGGGGGAAAATCCATCTCTGTTAGTCTATATAACACCATTGAATGGCTGAAGCTTGTTTGAGTGATCGTGACAGAGATCCACACAAATCCAGTGGATGAATCGATGTCTTCTGTATCGTGTGTGTCAGAAAAATACTAATAGATTTAACTTTTTTAATTAGAAATCAATGCTGTTTTGTCCCTCTCAAGAACGCTCGTACGACAGTAGACTGGAAGCACTGATTTATAATTAAAGTTAAATCTATTAGTATCTTTCTTAACACCTATCGTCTGGCTTCAGAAGACATTGATTCATCCACTGGGGTCGTACGGGTCACTGTCATGATCGCTGTGTGGTTTTTCAAGCGTCAAACAAGCTTCAGCCATTCAATGGTGCTATATAGACTAACAGAGATGGATTATTTTCCTAAATATGTGTGATTATCTGAAGGAAGAAAGTCATATACATGGGCAATGGCATGAAGGGGAGTAAATGTGAATTTTGAGTGAACTATCCCTTTAAGGTGAATGTCTTCTCTCATTGTAACTGTCACTCATCTCATCATTCTTGAAGCCAGGGTTTCATTCAGGCCTGAACAAGGAACAAAGCATTTCATTTACAACTCGCGTATGCTGCGTTTTCTTGGCATCCTAAGCCCCTTTATGACTTTCTGCTCCATCCTCTTTATCTTGTCTTTTCCAAATCTGCAAAAGAAGAAATATGTGAAATAAGGTTGGGTGGTGATGTCTCAAAAACATTTACAATGATTTAGAATAGAGATCTGCAAGACATATATACATATTTAACATTTTTGATTGCAATGACCACCATCTTATATAATGCTAATATATATGATTTAATAATAATAATAATACAAATCCACAAAAGTACTTGAACACTTCCTCAAACATATTTGAAAAGAGAAACTGTGCATTCTTCATTAGGGACTTTCACAGTTCTAGGAACTCAGTTTTAGGAACTAGTCATAAATGTGGGGTTCCCGAGAACTAATAATGTGACTTATTTTGACGGCGCTGAGAACGTCAGAGCCCGAGTAAATATATAGGCTATAATCTGTGTGTAAAATAAATGGCAGGTGCTGTTGTTTTGCATGCGTTCGGCCAATCAGCGTACACTAACGTCACTGGTAGTTCCTATTGTGCTGGGTTAGACCGACTCTGAAAATCATTCAGTTTCCCCAAAGCCGTTCCTAGAAGTCAAGTCAAGTCAAATATATTTATATAACGCTTTTCACAATACAGATTGTATCAAAGCTGCTTCACAGTATCAATCAAAACAACTTAACAGTGTTTGTTTATTACTGGAAAAGGACATCCAAGTTTGGTAGAGCTGATCAGTGGTATGATGGGTCATTTAATTTGAATATCCCCAACTGAGCAAGCCAAAGGCAACAGTGGCAAGGAACCGAAAAACTCCATCAAGTGACCCGATGGTGTCCATCAGATGACCCAATGGAGAGAAAAAAACCTTGGGAGAACCCAGGCTAGAACTTAAACCGTTCCCAGTTTCTGCCAAAATAATAATAATAATAATAATAATTCATTACATTTATATAGCGCTTTACATAGAAGGGGGAATCTCCTCAACCAGCACCAATGTGTAGCATCCACCTGGATGATGCGACGGCAGCCATATTGCGTCAGAACGCCCGCCACACACCAGCTTACTGGTGGAGAGGAGACAGAGTGATGAAGCCAATTGGTATATATATATGGGGATGATTAGGAGGCCATGATGGACAGAGGCCACCGGGCAGATTTGGCCTGGATGCCGGGGTTAGGCCATCCTTAAAAATATTCTTGTTTGCCGTAACCCGACCGACCCTGTCAATTTAGGACCAACCCAATTTTTTATTTTTTTCCCCTTTTAGTCCGACCGACTTGCCGGTTGTAAATTTGCATTAAGACCGACCGATTTTTTTTTACTCTTCAAACAACTAATACAAATGCAATAAAATATCAATTATATTATAGTAAGCAGGCTACGTTCTTTCTTTTAAATAAAAACCCGTGGCGTCATCTATATGATGATTATGTTTACACCATTGGTTTACGCATGTCACACTATGGTCTGTGCGTTCGCTTCGTTTCATTCACTGTCAATGGTTCGCGCTCGGTGATGATGGCTGCGGCGCGGCTGCTTGTGAAATACGTCTGTATGAGCCTACATTTAGTCGCTCATTATTCGAAATTCTTAATGGTCAAATAGGGAATAGATGTTAACGGCCTTTTCTCGTCACGATATGGCAGCCGCGAAAGCGCGTCACACAGCAACGGCAGGCTCTGACAAACACACATAAGTATGGGAAGCCAAACACACCGAAAGTGGGACGAAACGGCGGGGTGTTACAGAGTTTGCGCAGCGCGGACATGTAGCTAATCTGCGTGGCTCAATGGACCGAGACGCGCGAGCGCGACAGACTCGACAGCGCAGGGAGGAAGTGTTTGCTTGCGCGACCTAATCTCACCACCAGCGCCGCACTGACCAATAAAACAGCACATCCCATACCGAAATGTACTAAATTACACTAAAGAAAAACGACCATTCCATAATATGTCAGGACTACTTAATATAGTTTCTACAATGCGCCTAGCCATTTGACCTCACTGATTTTCGTTAATAATAGCAGATGTTTATGGGTCCAATTTAAACGAATAGTGCCAAATGCGCTGTTTTATTGGTCGGCGCGGCGCTGAAAAATCCACTCTTTTTCCCCAAATGAATGCAGCTGGAATTAATGCAATAAACATGTTTTTTGACAAAGATTTCAAATTGTTTGTTGTCTATAACCTGTATCAGAATGAGATTCGCAATGGTGCACCCAAAGGCATGGGTTGAAGACACTGTCAGTGGCGTCACGATATGCAAATTTGTTTAAATTCATACCGACGTAATCACCATGACCAAAATTTGTCCTTTTTTTTTTCATTGAATTTTGAAGAAAAAAAATATAGACCTACCTACCGACCCTTTTTTTTTTTTTTTTTGCTGTTACTGCAAACCAAAATATTTTTAAGGATGGCCTTACACCTCTACTCTTTCCAAAGACATCCTGGGATTTTTTGTGACCACAGAGAGTCAGGGCCTCGGTTTAACGTCTCATCCGAAGGACGGTGCTCTTTGACAGTATAGTGTCCCCATTACTATACTGGGGCGTTAGGACCCACACAGACCACAGGGTGAGCGCCCCCTGCTGGCCTCACTAACACCTCTTCCAGC